CCCCCCCCCCCACCTATGCTCCGGCAGTCTCTCCCTCTTACCGTGTTTCGCCTTCCCTTGCTCTTGTCACATCAGTGTTCTCCCTAGCATGTTGGCTGTTCCTCTACAACATCGGCTGTGTCCGAGTCATCAGGCTGTCCGTGCATTCGGTCACGGCTGCGCTCCTGGCACAGGAGGGGCCCCTGAGCACTGTAAGCATTCACCGACCACTGAGTGGATGAATGAACGAGCAAATAAGAGGAGGGCTTGCTTGGAGGAGGCTGTGCCCGCCACAGGGCTCTGGCCACCTGCCAACGCTGGTCCCCTGGCCTCTCCCCCGCAGTCAGCCTTCGAGTCGGAAGTGTCTGAGATCAGCATCAGCCAGAGTGAGATCAACTTGGCCCTCAGGAATCTGAGGGCCTGGATGAAGGATGAGAAAGTGCCCAAGAATCTGGTGAGCCAGCCTGGGGGTCAGGGCGGGCAGGCAGCCAGGTGGAGGGCGGCACAGAGCGGCTGGGGGGTCTCTACGCCTCGTCACTCACCACCATGCTGGCGGGGGCCCAGGCCACGCAACTGGACTCGGCCTTCATCCGGAAGGAGCCCTTCGGCCTGGTGCTTGTCATCGCCCCCTGGAACTACCCTGTGAACCTGACCCTCGTGCCCCTGGTGGGCGCCCTTGCCGCAGGTGAGAGCAGTTTCCACCTTCCCGCTGCTGCTGTCCCCGCCCTCGGGCCTCACGGTGGCCCACAGAGCCAGTGAGCAGGGAGCCGGCAATAATTGGCTAAGAAAACCTGCTTCCCACCTGGCCCACCATGCCCGGGCTGTGGGGCCTTGGGCCCGTCGGTCACCTCTCTGAGCCAGATTCTTCAACTGAAAGGAGAGTGAGGCGGGACGGGAGGGGCCACCCCTCTCCCAGCGCTCCCCCTGCCCTGCCCTGGCCTGCAGGGAATTGCGTGGTGCTGAAGCCATCGGAGTTCAGCAGGAGCACCGAGAAGGTCCTGGCTGAGGTGCTGCCCCGATACCTGGACCAGGTGAGCCGGGCAGGGAGGGGACCGAGCAGCTACCCTTGGGCTGAGCAGCGCCAGGCAGGCCCCCTCGGGCAGGACCCGAGTTCCACCCTCAATCCTGCCTCCCCTGGGTTGTGTGGCCATGGCCGGGTCACCACCCCTCAGCCTCTTTCCCTCTGGGTGAAGCAGAGGGGTGGGGAGCACAGCTGTGCTCTGAGGGGCCTGTCCCCTGGGGACTCCCATCTGTCATCTGGTCACCCCTGCTTGCCACGCCCCAGCCTCCGCTCCCCCAAACCCCAGCCAGGCTCTTAACCACGCGCCTGTGGGGCTGCGACTGGCAGGTGCCCAGTGTCCCCGGGCAGCTCCCTGCTCCTACCTTGGTCCCACCTGGTCCACCTAGAGCCCTGGCAACTGGGGGGTCAGGCCAGGCAAAGGGGGGCGGCCCCACGCAGGCAGGCCAGCCTCTGGGTTCTCCGGGCTGGGGTCCCAGAGGGATCCCTCTGCCATCCCGTCCTACAGAGCTGCTTCGCCGTGGTGCTGGGCGGGCCCCAGGAGACGGGGCAGTTGCTGGAGCACAAGTTCGACTACATCTTCTTCACGGGTGAGGCTGACCCCCCGGGACCGTCTGAGGGCTGGGTCCTATCCCCTGGCGCAGGCCCCTGCACTGGTCACAATGTCACAGAGGACAGCATCTGTCCCTGCTGAGCTCTCATTGTGCCCCCACGACCTTCTGTACCACCCACTGGCCTCAGGACCTTGTACGTGTGACCCCACCAACCCAGAGGCCCTGTGGAGGGCTGGACAGGTGAGGGATTAGAGGCCAAGGTGACAAAGAAATGAGGCCCCCAGCCTGGGTCACCCCCTGGGGCCAGGATCGGGGAAGGCTGGATTTTCCTTCCAGGCCCTCCGAATTGTTCTCAGAGGTCACTTGTCATCTCCTTGGCATGTGTCCACGAGGCCCAGGAACCACCTGGCTTCAAGTGGCCAGGAGGGAGTTTCTCTGAGTGAAAGAGCTGAGGAGGCGGGTAGGTGGCAGTCTTAGCTGGCCAAGGTTCTGGAAGAGAGGGAATCTTGCTCACTGGCCTCCTGCCTTGCACCCTTTGTCCACATCAGAGCAGGGAGAGCGTTGTCTCTGCCTTTCTGCCCCCCGCCCCCCCCGACCCTACCACAAGCCCAGGACAGGGCCCAGAGGCCCCCTGCCTTGGCGGTCAGGGGGCAAGCAGGGGGCAGGGTCCTCAGCTGGTCCTACAGATTCCTAGTGAGGGCGAGAAGACAGCCGGGAGGAGGCGGTCCTCCTTCCAGCATCCCAGCCGCGGCTCGGCGGGTTTTGGGCCTTGGGCCCCCGTGACTGCGGCCAGGAACCTGGGCAGCTTGTGCAGGGGCCGGCAGACTGACCCGGACATACTCTGCCACAACCTCCCGGCTTCTCCGGGCCTTTCCTTATCTGACGATGGTCACAGGTCTGTCTCCAGGACACATGAACTCATGGGAGCCTTTGTCACGGCACATGGCCTGGGGAATGTGTTGTTCACTTGCTCACTGCATTCTGAGAGAGCGTGCCCTGTCCAGACTCTGTCACGTCATAGCGAGGGCACAGGGGACAGAGAGAGGAACAGCATCTCTTGGAAGGGCCCGTGACAGGAAGCTCGTCGGGGTTCAACAGACAGGGAGGACCTCACAGGAAGGCCTCCCAGACAAGGATATGGTTTTGAAAGACAGGAGGACCTGAAGGAGGAATGGGGGCGGGGGGAAGGTGGGTGGAGGGGACTGTGAGGCCCTGCAGATCAAGCCAGAGGACAGAGGTGGGGACAAGCAGGTGGCCACTTCAGCCAAGAGTCAGGAGCAGAGGGAAGGGTGGGTGGTGAGGGGGGCAGGACGGCCATGTTGGTCGGAGAGGGAGACCCAGGTGCCGGCCCCTGGAGCTGGAGTCTGGTCTCGGGCCAGAGCAGTCAGAGTCAGTGCTGGAGGAGCCTGGAGAGGTGGGGAGGGGTGCAGGGCAGCGTAGAAGCAAGAGTCACTGTCAGGGTGAGCCTGGGACCAGAAGCAGGGCAAGGGGCGCCTGGATTTCTGACCGGGCAGCTCGGGAGAGGGAGCAGGGGCCTGGCTGGCTGCCCCGTGCAGAGCCCTGCACAGACTCCATGGAGACCCTGCGTTGTTCGGGCTGGTCTGGCAGAGGACGTGAGCAGGGTCCTGGTGCAGCTCTCCGGGGAGTGGGCCCTCCTTGAGGGGTCCCGATCCCCAGGCTGAGGCCGTCCCGCCTGGCTGAGGTGACTGAGGGCCACTCTGGTTTCTTTCCACCACCAGGGAGCCCTCGGGTGGGCAGGATCGTCATGTCTGCGGCCGCCAAGCACCTGACGCCTGTCACGCTGGAGCTGGGGGGCAAGAACCCCTGCTACGTGGACGACAACTGTGACCCCCAGACCGTGGCCAACCGCGTGGCCTGGTTCCGCTACTTCAACACCGGCCAGACCTGCGTGGCCCCCGACTACGTCCTGTGCAGCCCTGACACGCAGGAGCGGCTGCTGCCCGCCCTGCAGAGCGCCATCACCCGCTTCTACGGCGAGGACCCCCGGAGCTCCCCGAACCTGGGCCGCATCATCAGCGACAAGCACTTCCAGCGGCT